TTCACTTTTTTTATCCAACCCAAACCTCCCTGAGCGTTGTCTTTACTCCATCTCCGATCCATGGCCACGTTCCATCACTCTGGGAAAGCTGCAGCCCTGCCTTTTTCTATAGGATAGTTGCCAAGACTGTTGCATCATAAATGCCAAGCCCCAGTTTATCTGTATTAGGGCTCCATTCAGGTACTGTTTGCTTTGGGCAGAACCCCATGCCCGCAGGGCAGCTTTACTACATCCTGCCTTTCCTTTGTAGACACAGGAGTTGTTACATATAGTGTGTTGTTGTGGACTTGTTCTATGTAGAGATTGTCATGATCCCTTTCTTTGTCTGCTTTGTAAGGATTTATTCCTGTTGTCATCTAGAAATCATGTTAGGGAGGGATCTTGGAACTTGAGTTCAAAGGAATCTGCCCATAAAATGTGAATTGCTGAGGGGCAAGGTTCTGGGTCCTATGATGTATTAGTCAGAAATTATCTGACTGTGCAGGTGAGTGCCAGTGGAGCAGGTTGAGTGACATGCCTGAAGCCAGCTGGACAGAGTAAATAATTGAAGCTGGACTTACCGTTGTCTTTAGAAAGCCAAGCTTCTCTTTGAAAGCCTCTGGCTTCCCCTGTGGCTTGAGTATTTGAAATGAAGCTCACCCTTGGCTAGGCTAGAGCAGTCACCAGAGGGCTGGAGGGGTGAACAGCCCCTTGTGAGCATGTTCTCTCTACAGCAGTCAGAACCCAGTATCTTTCTTGCTTCTGCCAGAAGTGATAAGTAAATAAATAAAAGTACCCCTTCTCACATCTGCAATCTCTGCAGCTTTCTAGCTCTTATTATCCCAATTATGTAAAGCCTTTGGAGAGGGGCTGCTGGATCAGACAGACTGTGTCACGTCAGGTCATGCTGAAATCCTTATTCCTAGAATGATTCCTGAGAACGGCCCCGACGGGTCACGCTAACGGTGCCTGGCTTCTGACCACGGCCAGTGGCTGCAGCCTTCGGAGAGGCGCTGCAGAAATTAGGGCAGCGCAGTCTGCTCTTTCCCTGCATTGTGTCGTGGCCCTGATTTATAGTAAAGCCATGGCTGTGCAGCTTTGCCCCGTTGTTCATGCGGAGCGGTTCATCCGAGGTGAATGGAGCAGTGCCAGGAGGAGTCCCGCAGCCCCTGCTTCACAGGGCAGCATCTCGGATCAAAGGAATAAAACTGCTTTTCAGAAGCGCTGGTCCTCAGCTCTCCTCAGAAGCTGAGCAGCCACTGGAATTTGTCTTGGGAGTTTGACTGAAAATGTACTCGGTCTGTCTGTTCGTCTCGGTGTCTGTCAGATTCTTTCTGGTGGGTGAGACTGGGGGTTTTTTTAGCCCTTCCTATGTTGAAATCGTGTAAGTGTAATAACTTCACCACGCTCATTTAGGAAAGGCAAATATTATTACATGGTGGGAAAAACAAAGGAGAGAGATTGACTTGAAGGGCTCTGAATCACAACTGGCATGGGGGAAGCTCTCAGCCCTGTTCAGAATCTCTGGCCCTAAGTGTTTTCTTATTTTTTACAGAGCCTGTTTATCTGGCACCAATGTGTTTTTAAGGACTGAATACAGACGCTTCCGCTGCTTTTCAGTTTTGGACTGTGTAGAAAGCTTTTGCCTTTTATGTACACCACCACCATCCCATGGTCCGTCCAGCAAGCTCTGTACAGAACCAGAACGTGAAAAACAGCCCCCAAAAAGTCAGGATTTAATGTGGAGGCCGCAGCAGCTATTGTCAAAGAAACAGAATGCCTAAATGGGGAAGGGAATGTCACTGTCGCACCTCTAAGGGCTGTCTTCACTAACGGGAAAAGTGTGCTTTTAGATGTGTTAGCTCATGCTTTAAATATCCCTCTGTAAACAAGGAGAGTTTTATTTTTAGCATAATTGCTGGTCGAAGTGAATCCTGGATCCTCGGTTCCCTCCCCATTAGGATTGACTTTTAGTAGATGTAATTGTGATCTGTGTTTAGTGATATCTCACCGTATTTTCTTCTCTCCCCCTCACCTTCCTCCTGTAGCATAAACATACTGTAAGTTGTCCTTGCTAACCTTTATTTTCTTCTCCCCTGTATATGTCCCTTTTAGCAGCAGATACATCACAGCCTTGCTGCGAGGTGACAGAGCTGTGACCCTGCAAACCCCTGATAGTTCTGGCCTGCTGCTCAGTGCTGACAAGCCTCCAAGTCCAGGCACGAGGTGTCTTTCCGATTAGATGTACCCTATCTCTCCTGACCAACACAGGGTGGGGGGACCCTGGCACAGGGGCTCACATTTAGGGGAGGTGGTTCCTCACCGTTTGCTTTCAGCTGTGTGCTGCAGCAGGTCAGCCAAAGCCTGGCTTGTGCTGTCCTGTGGCCTGTCCTGTGGCAGCCCGCAGGCACGTCCTTCCCAAAGCAAATGGCTCTGAGTCATTGCAGTCTCACCCACCCCAAGCGCCCAGACACCCCCAAAAGGGCTTGAAAGGCATGATACAAAACCCAGTGAATCCGAAATTCCTTATCTACTTCTGCCTTTCGTTCTTGTAGGATGTATCGGATCACGTGCTTTTCTTTGTGAAGATGTCCGGCTCTTTCATTTTTTGAAACTTTACAATGCTCTTGTATTGAGATGACACTAGATCCTGGGGGTTTGGGGGAGGGGGAGCCAGTGATCCTGAAAGCAGGCATTGTATTCCGAGATCTGCAGTCTGCCGCGCTGGGACTGGCTTTGCTTGTCCCTGCCTAAAGATCCCCTGCAAGCAGCCTTTAGCTGAGCAATATGTCGACACCTAAATCCACTCAGCCTGATGCGTATCGCTGTTGTGCTGTGGCCGTAGCGGGCTCTCAGACCCCTCTGAATGAATGATGCAACTCGGATCCCTTCTGGCTTGCATCTCCCCTGAGTCACCAGGAAGTCCTGTCACTCTCGGCGCTCACTCGAGCAGGAATGTGAACTCTAATCGTTACTGTCAGACCCAGATACCACGGGCTCTGAAGACCGAGCTCTCTGAAGCCAGCCCGTGGGTATGTCTGAGCCCATCCGTGCCCGTGTCTTCCAGGAAGGCTATTCCCAGCTCTGGCGTGGGCTCTGCGTGCGTTTCCCTGAACTCTTTACCAATGCAGTTGCTTTCTCCCAGTCGGGGCAGGATGCAAGGTGGCAGTGAGCCAACAAGGGCCTTCTGAAATACCCCAATACTCACTTCTCCTCCTCCCATGGGTTTATTTCTCAGTTTGCAGTTTGTTGTGCCCTCGCTGGGAGGTGGGCTGCGGGGCATGGTCCTGCCTCCTCCCGCCAGGAGGTAACCTCGCTTCGGAGTAGGGGTGTGTTGTGGTTTTCCCTGTGATGCTCGGCGTATGTTGAGGGTCTTAAGGTGCTGGGTGCTCTTGCTGGGCAGTCACCAAGCTTTCTGAGTACTGGAATTTTTGCCTCTCACCTTTATCCATCGCCTTCGCCCCCATTCTGCAGCACCCTGTGCAGCTCAGCCCCATGGAAACAGGCTCGTGGCCAGAGTCGCCACCAGCAAACTGCTGGGCACATTGGCGACATGATGAAGGTGCTGCTGATCCCCCCGTATCTCTGGGGGTTTGACTGAGGTTGAAATATCTACAGTAAATTCTCTGGGCTTTAAACTGTGAGTGTAGATATAGCCTGTAACCTCAGGAGAGAGTGATCTGCATCCGGGCTGAATAATTTGGGGAGCAGCTGTTTGGCTCTGGTTGAGGCATTGGGGTCCTGTGAAAATGAGCTGCAGGATGTGGGAAAGAGCCTTTGCCATGAGGGCAGAGGCTACTCTGGGAAGGATCCCGCAGGGAAAAGCCTCCGGCTCAAGAAGAAAGGTTGAGATCCCCTCCTCCCCAAGCTGCTCGGGGATCAGTCAGCACTGGGGGCTGGTGACAAGCTGGTGAGGTGGCAGGGAGATGAGGACAAAGGGAGGGCATCCAGCACGTGGGGCACCGTCATTCTCTGTGTGACATTTGCCCATCTCTATAACAAACAACAGGCTCTGGGGAGTGAGCAGGGCACAAAAATAGTAAGCGGTTTGGAAGAGCAGTAAAGGTTTTAGCCATTATTTTCTCTGAAGCAGGTGAAACTCGGCCAGTCGGGAGCTTTGGGGCTCTAGTCAAGCCCTAGTTCAGGCTGTGAGTGCCACGCTGAACAGTGGCAGGAGTGGGCAATAACAGAGGAGGGTGATGGGGGAACAAGGGAATTAAAAAAAGACGGCAGGAAATGAGGCTTCATTAATTACATGAACCACAGAGCAACTTGTAGGCAGTGGGAGCTCCTCAGCAAGCACAGCGCTGCCCGGGGAGGCAGCGTGATGGAGTCCAAGAGCAGCCACAGCAAACCTGAGCCGTTGTGCTGGCCTGCCTGGGGCAGCCCCCTCTCCCATCGCCCCGGGGAGCATCTCTGAGCCCTGAGCGCCTCGGAGCCTCCGGGAGCCATCCCTGGCACTGCGGGTCGAGCAGAGGACGAGGGTTTCCTCAGATCCGGGTTCTCTTCCCGCCCGCGCCGCTGACCTGCAGGCCTGGTTGGGCTCATAGCTTGCCAGATGGGTCAGGACAGGGACGTCACGGTGTGGCCTCCAAAGCCTTTTAGGTGCTATTGTTATACAAACAACTATATCTCAGCTCTGGAAGTTTGTCCTGACATTTCTATGGTGTTTTCACACCACAACAGCATTAAATTGGATCAACTTAACAGGGATGGTGGCCAATCGCTTTGATGCTAATGGTTGCAGTGAGCACTTTTATTTCTATGCCCTTAGAAGTGTACTTTCCAGGGACTCCCAAGGAGTGTATGTGCTGTTCAAACCACCTGTTGCCAGAACAAATGACGGAATAGAGAAGTCCGGGGTTGAGGAGCTTTGCTTCTGAAAATTTCTATTTTAGGAAGAGACTCTTCGGGTTTGCTTAAGTTTTCGCGCAAAGCAAATGCCAGTTTGCCGTCATTTGGTTTGCGGTTTAGGTGCTTCACTGGAATCTGACGTGTCTCTCCTTGTCTGTTCCCCTCAGTGCTCCTCACAGCAGTGAACTGTTACAGCGTGAAGGCTGCTACTCGTGTTCAGGATGCCTTTGCCGCGGCAAAACTGCTGGCGCTGGCTTTGATCATCATTCTTGGCTTCGTGCAGCTTGCAAAGGGTGAGTATGTTCCTTTTTCCTTTTGAAGGTGCTGTGCAGTTAAAGCAGAATCTGGGGATTAGGGATAGAGCCCAAGAGTCCTAACCCAAGCATTTCAGAGCTAGCAGAAGCGTTTTACAAATGTCTTTTGTTCTCTTTGCACGCTTGGGTGATATTTCCAGCTCGTGCTTTGCAAAGGACTGAGAGCTTTTGTGCGTTTTATTTGTGAGGTTTCGTATTTACCTCGCTGAAGTTATGCTGGAGTTTGTGCTGCTGGAACCCAGCATGTACTACCCGAGGTCTTTTCCCCTTAATGCAGTCACTGTGTGGCCTCTCCCTTTGAGACTGTGGAGCTGCCAAGGCTACAGGGAATGAGAATTTTGGTGCTATGGCACTCAGAAGTCTTTTCTGTAGCTGATCATGGCCATTTCTTAGTAAAGAAGCATCTGCACATGCAAACCACCCCCAGTAGTTTTCTTTTTTTTTTCTTTTTTTTCCCCCCCCAAACTGTCCCAGTCCATTTCCCCTCTTCCTGCATCAGGTATGGAACAGCTCGGTCGAGTCTGTAGGGTCACACAGGGCAGCGTGGGTCAGGCGAGGCTGCGGAAACCACATGATGAATAGTGATATTAGGGCTCTCAGCTGACACCAGCACATATGTCTGTCAACTAACATCCAGAGAAGAAGATAAAAATGTGACGATAAAGCAAATTTTCTGGTCGGTTTTGCTTGTTTTCTTCATGCACATTAAAAATCCTCTCAAAGCCAGGGAGATACTTTGTTCCAAACCCATCTCATCAACCAATCCACACAGATAAGCTTTACTGTGCTTCTTTTGTGCGAGTTGTGAGAAATAAATTTTCTTAGGGACCACTACAGGCCCCATTTGTTAAATGTGGATAAAAGTCCATAGATAGTCCTGCCTGTGTCTGTACTGGCAAGAGTGTGTGTGTATGTTTGTGTGTGCACGTGGGTCTTTTTAATTCCTGTCTCAGCTATGGGAGCCAGTGCTGTCTTTGCAGAATTTCTTGCTTTATCAGAGGTTTTCTTTTCTTCCAGCTCAGTGCCTATGCTCAACAGGAACATTGTTTGAGGCTTATCACAAAATATACCTCCTTCCTCTTTATATCTCCCCAGGCTGCTTTGCTGATTTTTTTTTTTTTCTCTCTTAAAAGGAAAACAATAAGCAAACATAAATCTCTGCTAGTTCTTTAACATTTCACCAATAGAAGTTCTTTACCATTGTTTTTTGCTTGCAGGTAATAATCTTAAATTGCTTCTTCCGAATCACCTCCCCTCCCTCTGTACTACTCTGTCTTTTTGTTGAGGGTGAATCACTGTCTGCCCTGGTTCCTCAGGTGTAAATACATGATATTTCCATTGACTTATATCTGTAACCAATAAGAGATTTCTGTCTTGTGTACAGAAAACCCCATACTCTTCTGTTTCAGACGTTTTTTACCTCCTATGAAGCCTATTACAGTTTTAATTTTTTGGTAGGTCTGAAGAGGTACAGGGTGACTTGTGTGCATCTTGCAGTACCGCTCGTTTCATGTGATCTTTAGTTTCCTGCTCAACCACCTGGTCACTTCAGACTGCGGGAAAGGTAACAAGAGCAAAAGCAATAGTTAGATGATGACATCTGAAGGCAAAGGCCTTTTCTTCCTGCCTGTGCACACAACACTTGGTGTAAAGCAAGCTGGTTCACAGTGGGAACCTTGGGATCTACAGAGGATGCTCCTCACAAAGCCCACGTTTACACTTTCTCCTAAGTGGCACATTACTGCTTGTCGCAGTTCTTATTCTACAACATACTGCCTGGGATCTAACAAGGATTTTATTAATCCCCTTACAGAAGTTGCAGTCTCTCTGGTAAGTCCTTAAGAACGTGCAAGCTCCTTTCATATGTCCTTCCTTAGCTTCCACCTGTATTTTGCAACTTTCTCAGTTTTTCTTTAAATCACGCCAGGTAACTGGATGCTTATATGTAGCAGGGGTACAGCAAGAGACTGCCTTTTTTCTTCTTTTTTTCTTCAAGGAAAGCATACTAGCATCACTTGAAGCATACTGAAAATAGGAAAGCGCTCCACTCTTCTCCATCTTTGTTGGGGCAAGACATCATGGGTGCAAGCTGTGAGGCCGGGGAAATTTAAATTAGCCATTAGAAAAACACTTTTAACTGTAATGCAGAGCTTAAGTAGGTTGTCCAAGGAGGCGATCTCACTGCAGATTTCCAAGAACAGGTTAATAAACGCCTCTCGGGAATGGTTCGCGTGAGGCAGAGCTGCCTTGGAGCAGGGGGACAAACCTGGTGCACGTGGAAGCCGCCGTGTCTGTGCCCTCTGCACATCACTAGTACAGTGCGGAGCTGCTGGCTCTTCTCCAGGCGAAATACTGCAGACCCAGCCTTTTAAAGTGCTGACGCTTTTCGAGGGGCAACTTTTTTTCTAAAAGCCTGTTTAACCTCTGAGCGGGTTGGGCAATCCCCAGTCCAGCCATCACCACGGTGCCGTTGCTTTCACCGCTCCTCCGCGTGCCCTTGTTTTCTGCCATGCCCTTTCCTTGGACAAAGAGGACTCTGACTGCCACCAGCTCAGTAAATTCAGAGCTGGCAGCTACTTTTGGGGTGAAACACCCACCAAGGTGATTTGTCTGGGGCTGCAGTTTCAGCAGCGAAGGGCTGTGTGTTCCCGTGACGGTGCCTGACCAGTGCTGGTTCATTTGCTTTAATGGTTCCTGTCCCGTTGCTGGTTCATGTTTACAGTATCCATAAACAGAGAGGAGCAGCCAATACCACAGTTTCTTGCTCCAATGTGGAAACTTCTGAGACTTCACAGAAGTATGTCTTTTCTCTGTACTGACCTCCCGCCTTCAGCTTTTGGCTTTTTCTCTTTTTATCCTTTCATCGGATATTCTCGTTATTTTCAGAAAAGCAGTAACATCTCAAGACAAAGCAATATGTGGCAATATTACCACACAGAAAATAGCCTTTCCTTGTGATCTCTCTGTGGACAGCTGTTTTACATCACTTCTTTCATGAAGCTTCAAAAGGAGGGTAGAAGTTGGTTTCCTACTTGACAGCCTTTCAGCTACTTGAAAGTTGACTCACTATAGCTGACCCACTTGGGATGCAATTATTGAACTAATACAAAAGTTACACTTTTAAAAGCCTTTGTGAAGCTACAGTTAACGTTGCTTTAAAAGTTCAGTGTCCTGGACTGGTATATTGGTGGGTAAAACCTTATATATGGACCCCCAACTGCACAGCCCACAGTCTGTAGGACTTAAATAGTATAAATAACTTATGACATGGAGAGGATGTGGATTTTTTCACTCCAGTGTTATAAAAACTAGGCTTATTTTTGGTTCTGCTGTTTCACCAGCTCCCGCAAATTGCCTTCTGTCCAGCCATCTCTGGGTATTTTTTGGCCATGTTCTTGACCTGGTTTGTGGGATGACTGGGACTAGATCGTGTGGCCGGTTTGGACAGTGGCTGTGCGGGTTTAAGGGGTGTTTTCTGCACTGGGCGTGATACAGAGGTCTGGGGTTAGGTCTGCAGCTGTGCTCTTTGTACCCGATCACCCTGCAGTTTAGAAGTGCCTTAAAAACTAACCTAGGCATGAAATGGTCAAAAAAATGGTGCTAATCTGTAAGGACACACCCGTGCTTTTTCCAGGTGAGGAAATCCGCGAGAGGTTTTGATGTCAAAAAATTCTAAAAAAACCCCACATCCTAGGTGTGTTTCAGGTAAATTCTTTTCTGTTTTGATGTCTTAGCGTTACTTATATGTTCATCTGCCATTGGGCAGCTCAGGCAGCGAGGTGCCGTGTGTTTGGGGAGTGCTGCAGTGCCGGGCTCCATCCCTCACTGCGATTCCTCACCAGCAATTCCGCTTAAAATAAAGAAAAAAAGAATTGGCCTTTTGAGCCTCAGGAAAATAGAATTTAACACTCATTAAATTATTTCTATTGAGCTTATTGTCCCTCTTAACGCCTGATTTTCAACTTTAAATTTCTCGTCTGTGGTGCCTCGAGTGCCTGTGTGATGGCAGCAGCATTATTCTCTCTAACTCCCTTCACTGGGCTTGTCGGAGAGCAGCAGTTGCATGTGCTGAACAAGCACAGGGTGAATTAAGGTTGAAGGAGGCAAGTTTAACTCCAGACATTTGCCATGGAGAACTTAGACTAGGCAGTGAGTTTTGTTTTCAGTCTCGTCTTTAAATAGATGTTTACAGTATCAGCCAGCACTGGCACGCCCCACCCCAATATCATTTGCTCTTTGTAAATTAGTATTTAGAGGTGTGGTGGTGGCTGGCAAATTCTGAACTCAGCGGAGGGGGGCTGTTCAGAAAGTACCAAAACAAAGATTGAAACCTTCAGTCATTAACGTGTAAAAATCTCAGTACTCCAGGTGCGAGGCAACATCTTGGTGCTGTGGGTTTGTGTGCACATCTGGGTGCTGCTTTCATTTACCAGATCCCTTTGCCTTTTGCTAGAAAATACACATTTGGTCTCTCTGTCTTTCTCTGTGACAGTTATTTCACTAGTTCCCTGTCCAGACTTTCCTTTCTGCCTTTTTTTGGTGAAAAAATCCCGTGATTAAGAAAGACTGGAGGGAGGGAAAGTTTACTCACTCTTCCTTTCCTCCCAGATTTTTTTTTTCTCTGTTGCCAGTGGTAACATCAGTTGAATGTCCCAAAAAAGCTCCTTGAGCCCGATGTGGAGTGAGAGCAGGGGGCTGAGCTCTGCAAGGAGCAAAGCCCAGGAGGTGGCTGTAGGCGTGGGGAGGGCAGGGCTGCTCTGGAGGGGTCCTGCTGACAGGGCTGGAAAGCTTCATTTTGTGGTTGGTAATTAAAAGCTCAGGCTCCCTCAGGTCTCAGAGGGCACACAGATACAAAGAGAAAACAAGAGTGGTCGTTGTCTGAATTCTCGTGGGTTTGTACCTACATTTAATCACTCTTGGCCATCCCGAGATGATGGGGCACTTAGCACAGCTAAAGAAATCTGCCACGAGTTTTCCTT